CTTAAACTTTGTTTCCCAAAGTTACATAAGATTTCAAGAAAAAAAAGTATCTTAAACTAGCAACAACTCTCACACGTTACATGGTTCAAATAGTAGAGTGTATGTTTACATTTTCCAAGTGACATGAGATTGTTTCATGATAAATTCTATTTTCATTTGTGAAAAGAAAGGTCTCTGTGGCTGCCATGGTGTGCTGTACATCCCTTAGAAGCCTACCGTGATCTGGGAGATCCAGGAGGGTCTTCCCAATGAAACTCAACTCCCTGGTTTCCCTTAGGAAGTGGCCCTTTCCTCCTCAGCAGGTTCCTAACATGTGTCCCCACCCCAGCACTGTTTTCTGAGTCAAACTGAGGGAGGTAGTGCTTAGAGGTTGAGAATGCCCAGGGATCTCTCTGACCCAGTCCAGGTTTATCAGTCCCCTCTTTTCTTTTTATTTTGGTGGCTGGCTGGTATGGGATCTGAATCCTTGACTTTGGTGTTATAACACCATGCTTTTACAACGGAGCTAACTGGCCAGCCCCCAAAATTATTTTTATGATTTCTTAAATCATAAAACAGAGGCTAATGGGAAAATTCATTTATTGGATCAAAAGTATACTTAAGTTTCTTTGTTACAAGGTCTCTTGTCCTGGGGAGTGGGGCTGAGTGACTGCTATTTGCTGAGACTTGCTTGTGGTCTAGAGCAGTGCCGTCCAATAGAAATATTATGCGAGTCATGGATGTGATCTTAAATTTTCTACTAGCCCCATTAAAAAAGTAAAAACAGGTACAATTAATTTTAATATTACACTTAACCCAATATATCAAAAATATTACCATTTCAACATGTAATCAACAAATTATTAATGAGACATTTTACATTATTTTTCACACAGTCTTCTAACCTGGTATGTATTTTACATTTAAAGCATAGCTGAATTCAGACTAGCCACAGTTCAAGTGCTCAGTAGCAACATATGGATACCATATTAGACAGTCATGCCTTTAATATCTAAACACATTCCATGTGTGTCTGAAAAATACACGCATTCTCAAATCATTGGGTACAGAGTTTTATTTATGTCCGTTAGTTCAAGCTTGTCAGTGGGTTTTCTCAAGTTTTCCATAGCTTTATAGTTTTTTGTCTGTTTGATTAATCACTAAGAGATGTGTTAAAATGCCACAGTGCTTCTGGAATGTGTCAATTTCTTGTCATTTTGTTAACTTTGGCTTTATTTCTTTTAAGGCTACGTTATTAGGTGCATC